CGTTAATTATGGGAAGATTTTAACGTACAAATGAGTTGAGGAACTTTTTGTCAGCCTAATGATGGGCAGCGCCTCAATGGTGCTCTGCAATGCTTGGTTAGCTACCAAATTTATAGAGCAGCTTCGCCAGGGTGGGTTGAGCCTCGGAAGAATGCAAATGGTGGAGGAAGTATAAATATGTACAAGAAGAAGAAGGGAATAAAAACGAAACGTAAATTGGTTTATTACATTTTTTCATTAGGCTAGAAAAGCTTGAGAAAACAAGTGGAAGTTCACACAGGGGAAACTTTTATACCGGCATATACCCTGTAACCAAATCTGCATGTTTCTTTTTGGTTATAGCTATAATAGATAAGGTGATAGTATTATATCAATATATAATTTATTTAACTTGTGACTATAGTGGACAATAGCACTTCCAACCCGAAAAACAATATAAATTGAAGGAACCGAAGGAAACTACGCACAATAAATATATATTTATACACTTATAGGATTTCTATAGCAAATACTTCAAGCGTCTGCCATACCCATAAGCAACAGGGTATAATGAGGCGTAGAGTGAGGAGAAAAAAATGTTTGGAGAGTGGGCGCGGGTGCGGAAGAGCGTGACGCTCTCGTCGCCGTTGCCGTCGCCGAAATCAACGACAATCAAATAAAGTTTAAATACATATTTTTATTTCATTATACACTTGAAGACCCATAGCCAAAACTGGAGGCAGGAGACTGCGGGTGCTTTGCCCATTGTTGCCCCTGTCTTGAGATTTTCAACGTCCAATGTTAGTAATAATGATTATGATGATAATAATAATGATGATGACGGTGAAGAGAATGATGCGACTACGACTGCCGCAGATTTAACGACGACTGGCACTGAGGCTCAGTCTCAGTCTGTGGCCAAGCCAAGTGCTAACGATTTGGCAATGGCCACGACGATGTCAGATGAGAGCAACAACAACAAGGAAATCCCTATCCCAGCAAAGCGTCGAAGTAACACTTAATATATATATATGTACAAGTATATGTATATGTATATGTGTATGTATTTCTACATATGTATTCATTTCTGCGGCCTGCAACAGTTGCACTAATTGGAGATGGGCGAGTGATCAAGATCGTGATCTCAAGCGAATAGTGTTTATCTAAAGGAATCGAAGCGTGAAATGTTTTATAATATAACTATTTTGTACATCAAATTAGTGATCTTAGTTTAAGCATAGCACCATTGTGTCAAGTTTTTCATTAGGCTTATTATATAAACACGTAATTATCTTTCAATATCCTATTCACCAGGATTAAATTTTTTTATTTTCTCATTTCTTATATTTATAAATGCAAATGTATTAATATTTATATTTACATTCATATTATGACGGGTGAAAAACAAAACAATTTAAATGAAGCCTTTGCTTTCATATAATATCAATTATTAGAAAATAAATATTAATGAGCTTTCTCTTAATCTTAAAGTTAAGAATATAAGTTTATGCACCTTCAACCAACTACTAATAAACTACTTTTATACCCGAAAGCTTTACCATGATTTATAATATATTAGTCTTAAGTAGCATTTAGCTTTATTATAATTAATCGAAAATAATATTTAGTCTAAAAATCTTCTTCAATATGCTGACAATTGCGTATATATATAAATAACAATTTGGCTAAGGCACAAGCTGTTGTGTGTGTAATTTGTTAACATAAATATCAATTATTTTGCAATGGGATTTTCGTGCGGGCAGCCCCCCAGATTAGTGCGTCACGTGTCCATCTCTAGTAGGCAATGGCGAATTGTGGCTACAGGTTTGCTACTCCACTCTACTCTACCCTTCTCATCTCTGTCTTTCTCTCTCTCTCTCTCCCTCTCCCTCTCTTTCCACTTCTCGTCTCTTTTTTTTTGGCATTAACTTTGGCTGGTGCTGTGACTGACCAAAGCGATGGACTCAACGGGAGTCTCGGGACTAGCCTCTGACACCGACACCACGAGACGTTGCAACAACAATAACAACAGCAGCGGCTACAACAACAATGTAACTTGCTGTTTGTATAAATTCTCGCCTTTCATTTTGGCGAGTAGTCACGATTTATGCGAAATCATTATAGGCGAGTTTTTAGTATTTACGACGCGACTTTTATCTGCAGCCCAAGGAAGAAGACACTTCACAGACAACCACAACAATATTATATATATATAAATACATATACATATATGTGTGTGTTTATATATATGTATATATGCTGTGTACACTATAATTGCAGTTGAGTCAATTAAATACATAGATTGCGGCATGTCGATAAGACATTAACCTTCCCCACGGCTCAAGCATTTCGTTTCTTTCCTCCCTCTCTATCCCTCTCCCCCTTCCTCTCTCTCTCCCTCTTCCACAGAATGCCAGGTCATTTCACTTAGTCAAAAAGTGAGGGATAAGAAAGAAAGGCCCAGTCGCTGCCGCAGTTTAAATAGCGCAACAATTTATGAAGACATGAAATAACTTTGATGTTTAGTTGCTGCACTAGAGTTAGTCGTTGGGTCTTCATGGAGAGCCATTTTCTATCTCTCTATTCCCATTTCCCCTTGCCTCTCATGACTTGCAAAAGCCCGGAGAAAAAAGTGGCAATTTGTAATTGTGTTAACCAAAAAAAGGTAAATAAAAAAAAAACGAGACAACGCGGAAATGATTCAATTGTACATAACTTGATGATTGTCTTTCAGGTTGAAGTTTTGGAGTCTTATGCTAAAACCCTTCAGAAAACGGCAGGTAGAATGTCTGCTGAAGGCGAAAATAGATATCTCTAAAGAGGAATCGCTTCAGTAAACGCTGACTACGCTGACTACGCAAACCAATAATAAATTGATACATCAACAATTATATATACACATTTATGCTATATACAAACAATTATTAACGTATAACATACATACGCCTCTTGGATCCAAAACCCTGAATGAAAACTCAATACTTTTCAAACGATATTACTATAAATGTATATTATTATTAATTTGGATGTCGATATTGAAATACTTAGTTTCTACATTTTTGATCCAACATTAGTTCTCAGTGTATATCATAAGATAGATATAACATATCAAATATTTTAGAAAATTTTTAATTTTATAATTTTCTTCTTTTGTAGCGCATCCGTTATGCAATATACATATTGTATTTTATTGCCTTTCTAAACTCTTTTCTGTTTTGGCTATTTAAAAAAAAAAAAATCATCATAATTTCAATTTTTGTTATAATTCACCCCCACCCCTAAAGTTGTAAAAAGCGTATTTCAAATTGAAATGCATGTATTTGGCAAAGCTCAAGTCTCTAAGCTTGGTCAAATACATTCATTTCAATGATATACCCAGGTGATCTCGTAGTCGAGCAGTCTCGACTAGAGCTTTTCTACTTGTTTGGTTAGTTTTTTAATATACACTGCTATTTTGACAAGGGCAACATTTTTTGTACACTTTTTTGTTAATTGAATAGGAGAAAAATTGCTGAGCGAAAAGTACTTAAGAGGATTTTCTTGGGGTCACTCGCAGGGCTCATTTGCTGACCAAGTTTTGCCACCTGAGAGCCAGAGCCAAGACTTTCACTACAACATCTACAACTACATCTGAAAAGAAATAAAAACAAGTAAGAAAGCTCTAGTCGAGACTGCTCGACTACGAGATCCCCTGAACCCTTGGAGCATAATAATTTTTCGCGTCTTTCAGCTTACACAAGA